CTAGGCTCTTTCAAAAAACCTGCCTGTTCTTCCTAAAATGTTTCTGGGCCTTGTGGTTCCTCAACACTCCTAAAGTACGTCTGGGCCTTAAAGGAAAAATAATGTATTTAATTTGACGCAGAAAACGTTGCAGTACCACCTACTAAGAAGACAGTAGCAAAGCAGTATTCTCAAGTCCACAGGAGCAAAGAAGGGGATGCACATACATCAGTTTTGTAACTATTTTGGACCCTGATGTCTGTGTGAGAACCTTTCTGTTTATATGGTTCCCAACACAGCATAAGACCCCGACACAACAAGCTATTTTTTTCTGTGATGTGATGGAGACTCATGAATATAGTGGATCCATAAATATTTTTGCCAAATTCTTAAATACCAGCTCTCAGTAAACTCATAAATGTTAATTCTCTGTAACCATTACACATGCTTCCTATGCAAGGATGAGTCCAAAGCTTATGTGTATACACATGCACACTTAAAGATGTAAATTTTCCTGGTTAAAAAAGAGCCATTTCTATCTTGAGAGACAAAGAATTTCTGTTACTCAGTAAGAACTACACTGACTGAGACAAGTGATGGGTTCTGTCTTGATACATCTTAAGTCTTACAGAAACCTTATTCAGCTTCTGTTCCAGAGTCTACTTCAGTGTGAATCTAACATGAATGGCTCACTACTTCACGGTATTGTGTTCATTACAATCAGTGATATCGATTGGATTGTCCTTAGCTGAAAATATGTTTAGCCTTTCTTCAGCATTGTCTTTTAGAAGATACTCATTTTATGTTCTTTTTTTTCTTGCTTAATTCTACCCAAAACTTCTTGACTTGTAAAGCCTTCTCAACTTGTAAAGCCTTCTCTTTTATGTTGCAGTATTACATCCATGCCAGACACTTGGCTCTTAGCAGAACATTCCCAGATAAATTTGAGATGGAACCAAGTGCTCCACCAAAGGTAAAGTCTGCTTTTGGAGATGAGTTCATCTGCATTTTAAATACTTTAATCAGTAGAGACAGGGAAAGAAAGAGAGAGAAGGGAGTTAGCAAGTTTTATTTAAGCTGACGAGAAGTAGGAACTCAGAGTTAAAAGCTCAAGTTATAGACCCAAGCTCCAATCAGGAGTTGTAATAGTACCAGATGCGAACACTAGGGGTATCAGGTGCAATACAGGAACAGTTCTTCAGGTAACTTATAGTGACCTGGATGGGGCTATGCCACTTTAGACGAGCTGAGGAACTGGCCCTTGAAATTCCTATTAGAAGAGTGGCAACTTCTATTTTTGCTTCTTATAAATGCCATGGAGATGTTCTGCACAAACCAAATAGAAGGGGAGCTGAGAAATTACGTTCTAGGGAAAGCAAGGCAAAGCATTGCCTTCATCTAAACATGGTATGTGAGGAGGAGGCTGTTGCTGGAACTGCAGGGGCTCAGTTTAAAGGCACACCTTCAAACAGTTCTTGCATAGTGCATATTAACACTAATTTGAGAAGGGAGGCTGCTCAGATCCAATGTAAGAACCATGTTATTTGAAACCAAACCTCCAGAGAGCAACTCATTTTTTTAAATAAGAAGGAGAAGGGAGGCTTGGGCCAAAACCCCTTGCTTGGTTCTGATTTTGCAGATATTGACATTATAACTAGAAAACTGTTTTAAAACTTCAGATTGAATTCTGAATTTCAATGAGCATATTCTGACTAGAGTACAAAAGGATTTAATGCTATGTTGATGGTTTTAAGGCTCAATAAAGATAGTCATATTGTGCAAAAAGCAGTACTAGAAGTGCAGCATATTGTTTATAGCACAGGCTAAAGTTCACTGCCATACAAGTATGTACTTAGTGGCAGAGAAGGGCTGAGGCGATCTGGGTTCAAGGGAGTTAAATTTTAGAGTGCAGAGCAAGTCTAGCTTACATCCTACCATTGCTTTCCTTTGAAGTGTTGATAGCTTTAAATTGCTGTACATAACCAATTGAGGAACACTGTGATAATATATACAACTTGCTTCTCTCTGCCAGACGGAAGGTTTCAGGTACCCCAGGCCTTCATCAGTGCCACCATCACCTTCCGTCTCTCAGCATTCCAGCCCTCACCATAGCGAAGGTGAAGACGAAGATGAGGATGAAAGATATGATGAAGATGAGGAGGCTGAAAGGGATAGGCAAAACATCAAGTCTCCCTTTTCCCTTGGAGTATTGCCGCAAGGAAAAAAGAAGCAGCATGGAGAATACAGGAACTGAATTCGTTGCTCTCACCCTGGCAGGGTCTCTCCATCCATTCAACAGTTTCTTCTGTAGGCTTGGCAAGCTTTGTATTAAGGACAGTGTGATATAATTAGAGGAATCTTAAATGTTACTTGAGCTACACTGTTGGAAAGCCTGGCATTATTTCACCTTGCAAGTAGTTTAAATGACAATTCTTCTGTGCCCCTTTGAGGTAGAAGAGATTTCTCAAGCTTAATAAACTTAGAGAATGTGACAATACCCTCAGGAGCTTATACAAACTGCAGATCATAGCTTTGTCTACATAATCATCTATATTAATCATAGGCTATGCTGATAGCTCCATTATGGGTGTCCCAAATGTATTCCTGCTTCATTTATGTTCCATCTTTTCCCCTCCTAAACTAACATGAACTTTAAGACAGAGCTCAAAAAATTTAGAGAAAAAAGTATTACACTGGGGAAACCTTGGCAAAGTTAAAAAAGATACACTGAAAAGAAAATGGTCTTTCTTTTTCCTTATGCTGTTTATTGTAAGCTTACATCATTTAAAACATTTTTTTACAGCACACAGAAGTGTCTTGATCCAGTGGTAAAACATACTGCCTGTGGAACAATATAAAGTCTTATGCAGTGAGTGTTTGAGTTTGAGACAAATGAAGTCACCTTTCTGAAGTCATTTAGACCCACAATAAACAGCAGACCGTTTATTTTCTGATTCCTCTGGGATGTCTCTTTTATTGTTTTCATCTTGTCTTAGGTTCTAAGTTTGTTAACAAACTAATTTGGGAGGAAATTAATGTGACTTAGTTACAAAGAATGACATTTCCTTAAGTAACACCTTCTCTTGCAGACAAACCTACATGCCATAGAGCAATGTGACAACATTCAAAGATGAGTATCTCTAGTTCTTCCAATTGCCCCATTAATCCATGGTCTATTTAAGTCCTTCTAGAAAAGACCTAATTGTAACAAATAATGCAAAAAGAATTCCAGGAACACATCTGCCCCACCTGAAACTTAAAAGCACTTGGGGAATAATTGAGGATCACAACAAGAACTAGACATTTTGTTTGCCTTACAGAAAGCTTTCAAAAGTATTTCAGTTCCTAGAGATGCAGAGAGGGCCTTAACGTGCTCTTCAGAAGTAGATCTTGACATGAAGACATTAGGAAGGAGATTCATCTTTTATTTCAGAAGTTGGTGCATCAAGAATTTCCCATGTTGTTCAAGAAACGACATTTCCAGGAATTGATTCAGCCTGTTCTTCAGCAGGTAGGACAATGTAACCTTTGGAAGTATTTACCTTCACTGCCAATCCCAGGGGGAGGCTAGATGTACAACTTTGATGAGACACCTACCTTTCAAACACTTAACCAACATTTGATGATGTGGTTCTTACTGTAGGCCATATAGAATAAAAGTTATTCGGTGCCTATTTGTATTTTTGGCCACCTAAAATCAGTTTTAAAATTGGACTTTCATTCTTAAGCTGATTTCGATACCTGAAAGAATAACTACTCTCAGAAGACAGGTTCAGGCTCTTATGGCAAAAACTTAATTGGATTTAAAAGGAGTCACTACTTTTTAGCCATTTGAAAAGTGAGTAAAACAATGAGTAGTTATTTTTCATATGTGGTGATTAGTTAATATTCTCTCAAAAAAAATAGTTCAAGAAATCTGACATTAACGCTTGTATTTCTGTTGCACTGAAGCAAAGCATTTCACCCCAAATTCTCTGACACCAAAATTGCATTAGCATCATCTGAGAGTGATCCAGCACTTCCTTTGTTGCCTAAAAATGTCCTAGTCACCACAAGCTGGTGAACGTCGTTCCAGACCCAGCTTCACTGCAGTGCTGAGAGTTGTGATCACTACATGCATACTGTGAATATTGCTAAATGATGGAGGCACAGCAGAAACAATATGGAAGGTGGAAAGGTTTTGCTAGGGTTGCATTAAGACAACTACACTTGTTCTTTCTGGAGAAGTCCCAGAGTAGAAAAATAAGCAACATGTACGATCGAGGCCGCAGCTTCTCTTAGATGCGTTTACGGTGTTTGAGTTCCCTGGGAAGAGCAGGGAGCTGGCATGACATCTCGCACAAATCCATCTGTGTTTGTTTCAGCACGCTCACATGCTTTGAGCACCTGCCCGGTGACAGAAAGTGCACAACTTTTGAGCTAGGACTAATATGAATACTACGCCCATTCTTCTCAGAAATGGTCCCAGTGGTCAAAGGGATCTCTGCCTCATGCTTTTAGGCTTATTTTAGCTCTGCCTTGAATGCTAGGACCAGCCATCAGTAGGAAGGCAATTTAACTACAGCAAAACATTTCTCCCTTTTGAATTTGCAGTGTTAGAGGGAATGGCTTTTCATTCAGTCAAGACGACAGATCGCCTAACATAAATGCCACACATTTCTAAGAGTTACTGACATCTGATAAGCTTGGTAGCAGATATCTGCTACGTAAGCGATTATCTGCCAGATTGAAAAATATTAGGATTTCACAAACAGCTCACCAACGAGGCAGAATGGTTATTCTATTTCATGATATTTGTAAAGAGTTGTTTAAGCTAGTGAGCTTAGATCAGGAATACATAAAAAAAACAGTCAGCTGGGAATGCGATTAGTACACTTTTTGTACCCCTGGGACACTTAGAGGCATATGAATTTCATGATACTACCAAATCAAAGGATGTATAAGCCTTCTACTCTTTGTCTGAGCACTGTCTGATTATACTGTAAAATATGCTGAAAAATAACTTAGATGCACCTGAGGTATTCAGAGTATGCTTCAAACAAAGAGCAATTAAATTAATGAAAAGATTCTGGTGGATACCATTGGTCTTTAGATGAAGTTCACCATGGGTGCATTCTGTCATACAACATATACTGCTATTGAAAGATATATTAGTGCTTAAAAATAAACAAAGAAGGACATCTTGATTTCTCCATGAAATTATATAGATTCTGAACAATTACTGAAAGTGCCTGTAGTCCCATGATAGAAATTTAATTCCTCTGTTCCTTTGGCTATGTTTCTTTGTGTCGAGGAGAAGCAACATTATAGTTAGTGTCAGTTAACAAAATTAATTAGCAATGTCATGAGAAAGATCAGAGGAAAGCAACATTAAAAGATGAAGAACACAACTACGGTTAAAGGTTAAAAAAATAAAACATAGTTGCTGAGACACAAGAATCATGTGGCTACTTTTTAATTACATGAGAACTACAGAGGACTTTCCAGTAAGACCACAAAACTACATAAATAACTTTAAATATATCCTTATCAGCATGGAATGATAATTAGCCGATTTATGTATAATTCCAGTTTTGCAACTCAAAAACCAGGCCGACAAAATAGCACAATAACGATGTAATTAATTGGAACTAGATGATCTTCAAGGTCCCTGCCAACCTAAACCGTTCTATGATTCTATGATTCTGTGGGCCTGTTGTTATGCATGGCACTAGATTTGCTCCTGGTACACCACCACTGCCTCCAGTAGTACCGCACCTCCTGACAACAGTAGTGACTGTATGCCATAGTCATTAATGAGGCCCTGATCCTGTAAGACCTTTCCCCATTCTATCTTTATGTGTTGGGACTTGCTCAGTAGGATTGCTCAGAGTATACAATTCTGTGTGTATGTAACTGGGGCAGCACTGAGGTGTAAGTAAGCGCTGTTGCCTGTTCTCTGTGGTGACAAATATCTGTGAAAAAAAATAATCACCTGCTTTGCAGTCAAAGATGGCTGGATTGGTTTAATATCTCACTGTCTTTATTGACCATTGGCAACTTACAGGGCCAGCAGTGAAAGTGGGGAAGGAATCTACCTTTATCGGAAATAAACAGCCTTCAGCATACAGCTGGGTGGAAGGCAGTAAAAGGTTTCCCAAATACTATTGAAAAATTGTCTTTACTGAAGCAGTTGTCAAAAAAGACAGTTTTAATCATCTTTTCAGGTAAGATGGTATAGTGAATTTTAAATTTTGGGCAGGACATACAAAATGGTCTAAACAAGGCAGGAACTTTACAAATAATTTCCTTATCTGAACTGGTAACTTTTAATCAGTTTGCATTCAAAATGTTGCAATGGGTATATATGTCATCCTTTGGGAAATGTAGTGAGGGTGGATGAAATACTGTTTACACAAATCATGATTTCAGGGTATATACAATACAAATGTTAAAGAAATTTGAAATATTTCACCAATTTGATAGATTATCTGTCAAGTAGCCAGGGTGATCACTGTTTTCTTCTTCAACTGTAAGACAAGACACAATGGGGAAAAATAAGCTGTAGATAAAGGAGAAAGTTCAGTCAGCCAAAGTTTTCATGAGATAGATGTGCATCAGGCACAGGTCTAGTGTAATGGGACATAGATATATGTCATCCATAGATATAATTATATCTTCTCCCATTTAAAATATAGGAATTTTTCTGTTTTCTGAAGAGCAGAGATACAAACCATGTCTAGAGGGATGTCTTAGTACAAGGCACAAATTTTTCATGCAGAAGAAAATAATTGTATTTGTTCTTTATTTGCACATTTCTCACAGTCAAAAGGATTCTAAAATCACCTGAAAGTGGTCTTCTGAAAGTGCAGGGCTTACCCAGGTTTGACTGTGTTGTTATTCCCTACTACAGTGATTGCAATGTTATTCCATAAAGTATTTTTCAAACAAGCTGCCAGTTCTGCTTAGCTCTCTCAGATATGTCACTTTCTTTCTTGGGGGGCTGTTGCTGTCCTCCGTCTCCTCTGGAACAGCAACAGCAGGCAGGAAAATACACTAAAACTTATGAATCGTGAACTTCAGAGGATTTTCTTTTTTTTTGTTAGCACACAAATGACACTTTCACTAATTTATCTTTAGAACCTCTTATATATTTTGTCCAAAGCACTATGCTTGGTTTTAATCCTGCCTTTCTCTCTTAGTCAAAATGCCACTGAATTTTTTTGGTTAGCAGAGTTCTGCCAGGGCAGGGAAGAGACACCTGAGCACAGAGCC